GTGTGTGTGTGTGTGTGTGTAAGATGGCCTGGCAAATCTATGGGGAAGAGCGCGCGCGTGCGTGCGTGCGTGTGTGTGTGTGTTCTGCTTCGGCTTTTCCCAGACGTGAGTGACCGAAGCTTTAAGGCACAAAGCCCATGCCTCTTTTTCCTCAGTAGCCGTCCGCGTTCAAGGGGCCGCGGGGAAGGCTGGTGGGACCGCTCGCACATGGACATCCCGTGTGCGTCCGTGCGCGTTTAATTCCGTTGCAGCCCCATTTTATAGCACCTTGAACATGTCATTCAAAGAACCGGAAAAGATGAGAAATGGGGCTGCGAGTTTTTCCTGCATTCGCGGGCAGAGCCTCAGCAGGATGCGCGCCGCCTTTTGCCGAGGGCTAGCAGTGCCCCAGGAGCCACATCCGGAAGCGGAAGACGCTCGGGCGTCTGCCGGCTGGAGCCTGCGGGTGGCTTCTCGGGGAGAGCGCGGGGAGAGCGGGCTCCTGGGCAGTGACTCAAGTGGCCAGCAGGGGGCTGGCCTTCTCTGTCTATAAGTAGCCCCGGTGCCTCCGCAGAGCCTCAGCGCCGCGGAGGGGCGGTTTGCTGCTGAAGTCAGTGACGCGCACAGCATCCTGCCTATAGGATGTGAGGCTTTCTCAGTGCAGTCGTTTTTCTACCCACTTTAAACCTTCAGGTTCTACACATCAGGAAACATAGGAAATGCCGTATGAAAATAGGCGGCCAAAAGTTGCTAGTAAACTGCAGCCAGGGAGACTCAGACTAGAGTGGAGGTAGAAAGAGTTGCTACAGAGTGGGTTTAGTTCTGGCTGACTTTTTGTTGCTAACTTACTGAATTTAGACATGTGTTACATTGGTCATGTGAGGACCAGAGCAGCACCAGCATCAGAATAGTGCCGGGCCGTTCTGAATGCCATGGTGTATATGTACTCAGAGTATTTTTGTCCAAGAAGATAAAGAGCCCAGCATAGATTTTATCCTCATCTTCACCCAACTACAAAATCAAAGTTAAGCAACAGCATCTAAGAGCCCTTTTCAGGGGGGCAAGAACCTAGAGGATGGCTCTGAATGATTGTTTGCTTTTGAACTTGGAAGTGGACCACTTCTTGCACTGCAACATCTCCAATCACAGTGCAGATCTCCCCACCAACGACGACTGGTTCCACCCAGGGATCTTCTATGTCATCCCTGCCATCTATGGGGTCATCATTCTGATAGGCCTCGTCGGCAACATCACCCTGATCAAGATCTTCTGTACGGTGAAGGCCATGCGAAATGTGCCCAACCTGTTCATCTCCAGTCTGGCCTTGGGAGACCTGCTCCTCCTGGTAACGTGCGCTCCCGTGGATGCCAGCAGGTACCTGGCCGACAGATGGCTGTTTGGCAGGATTGGCTGCAAACTGATCCCCTTTATACAGCTCACCTCGGTGGGGGTGTCTGTCTTCACACTCACGGCTCTCTCGGCGGACAGGTGAGTTCTGGAGGAAAGTCACCTTCTCTCTGAGGGTGGCAGGTGCCTTGGGAAATGAGCCACCAGCTTGGGGCAGGCAGAGCTGTTTGCACAAAGGGAAGTTTTAGTCAAACTCAGATTCCCTTCCAGGCACGTTGTTCTTCTGGGGATTACTTCTTGAATTGGACATTATCGGTTTAAGAAAGAAAAGTGAGGGGCTCTTGGGACGAAAGGGGAGAAATGAGAGAAAAAAAATCTCTGAGCATAAGATTGACATGTATCTTCTGGAGACAAATCGGTTTAGCGTTGCTTTTTCCTAATTCTCCCTCCCTGCAAAATTAATTGACTGGTGAGGGAAAAAAAAAAAAATCACACCTAAGAGAGTTTACACCCCAGGCAAATGTTTCTTCGAAACAATTCAAAGGCTTCAGAGAACAGAAAAGTCCCACTGAATTTCTTCCTCAAAATATTCTTTCAGAAATAAACAAGAGGAGACAATAAGCAGCATTTCTTTGAAATTTATTTTCCTTAGACCATTTACCTTTTCTCACAGCTGATTTTGTATTGGGCTCTCTGTAACCAGAGAGCTGGTTTTTCTAAGTGTCCCTTCAGTGAAATCAAGCATTATTTGGATTTTTTTTCCCTTGAGAAAGTTCCATTCAAGTTTGATTTTGAATTTTAATCTTTTTGATGTACTTCCACATACAGTGCCTTTGGGTTTTTTTGTTTGGTTGGGTTTTTTTGGTGGGGAGTCCAACGTTTCATTCTGGGCAACACTCACATTTGTGAACTGCATTTCTTGTGTGAACATGTTGCTTAAAAATTCACCTTTATTCACTCTTAAAGATTCATATTAATTCCTTCAACATTTACCAAGCATCTATTATGTTAAAAAACACTTGCTTGAATTAACCCGTCGGGAAATATCCGCAGGCTGTTCACACACATTGCTGCCTAGATCTAGCATGCTTCTGAGCTCTAGAAAGTGGACACAGTAATGAATAGACTCCCGAAACATCATGGAGCATATGGTCAAATTAAGAAAAAACTGGAACAATGAACCAGAGACTCTAAGTTTTCATTTTAAAATCCACTGTATGTTATGCTGTTAAAGACACACGAGGATCTGAGCGTGTACCAGGAAAGGCATAGAAGCAGCTCTTGAAAGTTTATACTCTGAAGAAGATGTCCCACATTTTAATACATGTGGTAGTGGGTTTTCATTTTATAGAGGAACAAACAGTCCCCAGGTGATCTGGCTTTGTCGAGTAATGGACGAATAAAGACAGTGTTATCAGTATTTGTAGACATGTCTTTATACTTAGCTGCCTGAAGTACACTGTTCATTTTCAAAGATGGAAAAGTAATAGCCCGGAGGCAAGGTCTGCACACCATACCGGCCGGAGGGGCTTTCTCCACTCTCGCCGCTCGCCCCCAGCTTGCTCTCACCTGAACAGCGGCCCCCCAGGTGCTGGTGGCCATGGGCAGTCTCGCGTGTTGACCCGGGCCGGGCAAACTTTGGAGCTGGCAGGAGGTCTGTGGCTCATTACACAGATGCCGAGGTCATCTCAGGATGGAGGCGAATTTTCCTGATGCGAAGATGAGATTTTGGACCCCGGGCTGCTGGGTGCAGTGGTGTAGAGGGTGTTTACCATTTTCTTGGGGTGGGGTGGGGGGACAGAGAGGAAAGCGAGGGTGTGGGATGTGAAGATGTAGCTGCAGGGGGCTCTTTCCAGAGTTTCAGAGCAGACCGAATTCCCCATCAGCAGAAAGGCTCTTTCCAAAGCCAGGTTGCAGCCTTTGGCAGCTCCGGTGTGTTCTCAGCAAGTTTATAGTTACTGTGTGTTCTTCCCCTACTATAAGCTGCCCTATAACTAACTTTCTGTGCTTTGGTGAGGCTTCAAAAAGCTGATGGATCACCTGAATCACAGGTAGTGAGCGCATCTAACCGATTTCGACAAGAATAAGTATTGAGCTAGTTAAATAATACAAAACTACACTTATCTATTTATCTCATTTTTAAAAGCTGTTGGGGTCTTATAATAACCTCATGAGGACAGCAGGGCAAATGCACACACCCATACCCTCTCTGTTTTTTCTCAACAAGGTACGATCTGTATACAGTAAAGTGAACAAGTGTATAGCTCAATGGATTTTTACTTATGTCTTCATAACATAAGTAAACCACCCAGATGTAGATATAGAATAGTTCGGCACCCCAGGAGTTTTCTTTTATGCCTAGTTCCAGTTAATACCCACCTCCGAACAGGAGCAATCACTATTCTGAGTTCAGTTAACATAGATTATTTTTGCCAGTTGTTTAATCTCGTATAAAGGGCATCATACTTCTTATGCCTGTCATGTCTGTGAGAGTCATCTATGTTCTTTTTAATTCTTGTGTAGTATTCCACTGTATGAATATACCCTGTTTATGTATCCATTCTAATACTGATGGACATTGGGTTGTTTCCAGTTTGGGGTTCATAATAACCTACTCTGGATAAGCTTATTTGTGCCTTTTGGGGAACATATGTGTTTATTTCTTTTGGGTTTAAGCCTGGGAATGGAATCGCCAGATCACAGGGGACACATATTTAGTAAATATCATCGAAGAGTTTTCTAAAGCGCTAAGTCTGTATTTGACAGGGTGGTAAAAGGATGAACCAGAAGACCCTCCAAACTGGATGATCATCACAAATCAATGGGGAGCTCAAAACCAATACAGGTTCTTAGTCCCTACCCTAAATCTACTGCATCAGGGTTTCTGAGGTGGGAACAGCATAGTGATAGTCATCCATCCCTGCCCCTTGTAGGTTCACCAGCAATGCCGGTACTCATCCCCATCTCCCTTCTGCAGCCCTCCCTTCCCCCAGGCGAACTTGAGTCTTTTTTAATATGAAGGGGATAACAGTTTTCTGGAAAAGTTTACACTGTTGCCACTGTGTCAGAGGGAGACTTCAAGGCAGTCCCAGAAACCAGAATTCTGGGTTTCACACAGCTGGTCAATGGCAGATTTGCATTCAAGCCCCTTCGCTTTTGGTCCCTGCCCTCCCCCTCCTTCCATGCCTTTTTCCCCTTACACACGCGCCGATGTCCTCATACCTGGTGGAACACTGATGAGTTCCTGGCTCTGCTCCCTTGCTTATGCTGTGTCCTGCCCACTCTCCAGACACTTTCTCCTTTCCTGCATAGAAGACACTACTCCCCATGTGATGTACGGGCTTGGAGTGGGCATCAACGGTCCTGCCTTTTAGGCTTTTTGCTGCCATTACTGCCCAAGTCACTTAACTCTCTGACCTTAGTTGAATCATCTGTAAAGTAATAGAGTTGAGCTAGATTATTTCTAAGGTCCCTCCAAATTTTTTATCTGTCATCTTGCCTATCATTCGGAATATGGTTCAAGCTTCCTCCTTAAAACCCTAAGTTGGACCATTCTAGCCCCAAGGTCCTAACCCTCCCCTAAACATAAAGCTTATTATCTCAGACATGAATTATCTTGTGACTTCTTTCATTTTGCTCTTTTGAAGTATTTTACTCATTTGTCTTTTTTTAGCCTCTCGTATAGTCATTGCGTTAACTTTTCAAGTAGATTATTAAGCATGCTGAGGGCAGGGGTGCCTGGGTGGCTCAGTCGGTTAAGCTTCTGCGTTCGGCTCAGGTCATGATCCCAGGGTCCTGGGATCGAGCCCCGCATCGGGCTCCCTGCTCAGCGGGAAGCCTGCTCCTCCCTCTCCCTCTGCTTATGTGCGCACTTGCGCTCTCTCACTGTCAAATAAATAAAAACGGCCATACCACCCTGAACGCGCCCGATCTCGTCTGATCTCGGAAGCTAAGCAGGGTCTGGCCTGGTTAGTACTTGGATGGGAAAATCTTTAAAAGAAAAAAAAGAATGCTGAGGGCAGAGATTTCTTATATATTCTTCTATCTTCCACACTGCCTCACATGGTTCCTTGGCACCAAACGGGTGATGAATAAACAGTGATTAATTAAAATTATGGTTAATTAATACACACTTTTCTTCTCATTCTTCTTTTCCTTTTTTGGAATTCATCTGAAAGCATACTCTTTAAAATGTTTCATACAGTTACTGACTTCTTATCTCTTCCTCTCTATGAAGCTCTCACTGAGTAAATGTGAGAGAAACCTTTCTTTCTGAGTCTATGAATAGATTCGGGGGATGAAGATGGGTGCATGGATGGACAAATGAAAAGATAGGTGGGTGGATGAGTGGATGGGCAGATGGATGGATGGATGGATATATTTTTTACAGACTGGTCTTTCCTACTAGATGCCCATTTCTGTACTAGGTCCTCAGCATTATGTAAATGGAGTTTAAGACCAAAATTAGGCCCTCAATAGGAGAAGGGTAAGGAGAGTTTATGTTTTCCAGTAAGTGTGACGTTTAAAGCTAGATGTTATCTTGACAGCATATAATACCCAAGTTATATTGTGCCTGCTTCAGTATTATTATTCAGTGCTATTTCTGCTAGAATGGATGGCAGAATGAATCCCAAAGGTAGATATATAGAGGAGTTCCACTGTAATTGTGATCCTTGATTCCATGGAAAAGACTGTTCATACATTTTCCCCTCCCTTGTGATTTGGAATGTGTAAAGAAAACAGGAAAGAATTGCATTTAGGCAAACTTCTTGAAGTACAGATTCTTTGAATTCATTGCAAGGAGTTTTTTTTTTTCACATTAACATTCTTAGTTTCTTGATTCTCTCATGAAAAATATGCACAACCTCCACAGATAAAGCCACTGCAGCATCTTTACTCCTCCTGTTGTCCAATCTCCAGCTCACTTTTTGCCAGCACCAACATTGGCTTTTGCAGTCCCCCTGACTTTCTTCATTCTGTTCTTGCGTTCCTTTCGCTGTTTTCTTGATGTCTTTTTCTTCTCATACAGGCCATGTCTTGCAAGTCTGTGTTTGGGTTCATTTTTCTTTGCATAATCCAAGGAATCATACATAAATCATGCCAAAGCCAGTTGTCTTGCCACCACCAAAATGGGTTCTGAATCCAAACACAAAGATGACATCTGGTGTGGTCTTGTACATTTTGGCTAGTTTTTCCCGAATTTCTGTCTTAGGTACTGTTGCCTTTCAGGGGTGAAGAACATCAATGACCATCTGTTTCCGCTGAAGTAGTCAGTTAGTCATGAACTTCCTGGTCTGGATAGTTACTGTGTCGTTCATGATGGTGGCCAAGCTTCAAGCAGCCATGGAGGAAAAGAGGTTCATTGCAAAGAGTTTATGAGATAATGTAGTTTCAGCCTTTCCTGCCATCTCGAGCTGCATGGTCCAGCATCTTAGCCACTAACCAAGTAAAACTAAAAATTCAGCTCCCTAGTCACAACAGCCACGTGTCAAAGGCTCAGTAGCCACACATGACTCTACTGGACAGTACAGATACAGAACATTTCCATCATTGCAGAGAGTTCTATTGGACAGAAGAGAGTTTACTCTGTGTCTTGGGGTCCAAATCTCTTTTCCAAGATCCATGTTAGTTGGTCTGTCTCATTGACAGTATCAGGAATTTCTCACATAGGCAAATATCAAATGCCCCCTATCTGCATGGGCTATTCCTGTCTGTCAAATATCTTCTATGAGAAGATAGCAAAAATGAAGAGGGAAGAAACCAGGCAGCCCAATACAGTCACCAGTCACAGGCTTGGGGAATTTGGGCATCCCATTGATGAGGTTTTGAGACCTTCTGAAAAATACATGTGTGGTTCACTTTCCAGGTCTGTGTTATGAACTTCTCTCTGATCCTTCAATTCTCTTTTGCCGGGCCCTCTTCTATCTACCAGTCTGTCTTTCTATCTTCCTATCCCAAGGCTTGCCAGAACAAACACAATTGTAGCTAGACTCCTTTTTTTTCTTTTTAGAGAGAGAGAAATAGAGCACAAGCGTGCGATCAGAGTGGGGGGCAGGGAGGGGCAGAGGGAGAGGGAGAGAGAATCTTAAGTAGGCTCCACACCCAGCATGGAGCCCGACAACACGGGGCTCAATCCCACAACCCTGAGATCATGACCTGAGCAGAAATCAAGAGTCGAACACTTAACCAACTGAACCACCCAGGCGCCCCTCTAGCTAACTTCTCATTGCTTCCACATTGCCTTCTGACTTCTCCCCTCTCTGACTTCATTTCCCTCTCCCTAATAGCTGGGTTCTATTCCCTCCATCTATCCAAATCCTATGACTCCCTCAAGGCGCAGTTCAGGTCCCTTCTCCTCTATGAAGCATTCCCTGATCTTTTGCTTTCACTGATTTTTCCCCTTCTCAAGATGTTTTTGCCTGTATTGTCTATGAAATACCAAATCTGTCCCACATTTTATTACTGGGTCCTTTGTATAGATGTGTTTTCTACTTCCTTAATCATGTGGGAAGCTCCTTGGGGTCTGTGCCTGCTATGACACCCGGGCCCACCGTACATCTAGTAAGAGGACAATAACCACAGCTTGGTTGATGTTTGAGCAGTGACAAGTAGAAATCATCTTAAAGTTCAAACCCTTGTTTGACAGAGACCAAAAAATGGAATTTGGCCTTGTCACAGCAGATTCAAAGTGCAGGCAGACTATAATACTGCTCTCCTCATTTTAAGTCCTAGTTCCTTCGGGGGAACTGGAAACTTTTCTTCAGACACCATCAAAACACAGAGTCTGATTCCATTTCCCTTCCCTGGACAGTGGGAGCTACTGATCCCAGACCCTACTGTCCTGAGGGAGGATAACCCGAGTAACTGCAAGATGGTGCCCTTCTAAGGGGATCGCCCCAGTGATGCCAGAGGCTCCTCTAATGTTCTAGAGGCCCAGCTTCACTGATTTCAAGGACATTGGCCCTTTCACACAAGACAAGACAATTTAATTTTTTTCTTTTTTTTTTTAAAGATTTTATTTATTTATTTGACAGAGAGACATAGCGAGAGCAGGAACACAAGCAGGGGGAGTGGGAGAGGGAGAAGC